AAATAAATCCTTTTGTTTGTTTGAAATATTTCCAATTGCATGTGTGATTAACAAACCATATTGCAATATTCAACTGTTCAAAAACAATTCAATAACATAATTATAATCTCAATTTAATCCACAGATGTCTTCCATCCGAATCGCAGAAGGATAGTAGCGTTGCACATAATTATAATAAGAATGCAAACACATTTGAGGTGTTATCATTTTCATTGAATGATCTGCACATTCTTCAAGACATCGCAGTCTGAATTCTATCTGGCTGAGCAATCTGTTCGGATCCCCAGCTATGACCCTTTGGCGATGCTCTTGAAAAAGCTCTTCACTTCTGACTTGAAGGCACTTCATATGTTTTCAATCGAATTCAACATATAGGGCTGTAAGGTGCCAATCTGCAAAATAAAACATTCCCCCATGCATATCTCTTCTATTTTTGAATGTGCAGGTGCATTATCCAGAACTACCACTATGGTATCTGCAGGATGTCCATTAAACAATCTTCTCTTTTGCAATTGAGAACATTTCAAACATATATAAGGATTCATCTTCTGAAATTGAACCTACCAATTCTGAAATGAAACTTACCATTTCTGAAATTAAATGGACTTTTTCTGAAATTCATCTCGCCGATTCTGAAATTACGTTTACCATTTCTGAAATCGAACTAACCAATTTCCGAAATATAACTCACCGATTCCGAAATTGAAGTTGAAAAGGTATAGTTCGAAAGACACCCTTGGTGCTCTAACTGCATTTCAAACATTGATATGGATAATGTTTAATTCTGATTCACCTCTGGTTCACTCCTGATTCGGCAAAACATACATGAAACAACAAAATATTTCAAACTTCAGTGCGACTGCTGGCTAAAGAAGGATATCATGACTATAAGTTAGGTATCATAACAGGACAGGTAATGATAGCGAATAAACCCCTTTGAGTATGTCCATACTCAAAATTCCACAATGATAATATCATGTAAGGTTGCAACCTGATTCGTACTTTTCAACGTGATGATCCCAGACAGCACCAGATATTCCATGAATCTCCCTATCATATTCCTTTTGGAATATTGGGATATTCTAGAAATAATCTGGAATATTCCGGAATATCTGTGGAATATTCTCTAAATATGCGAATGGGAATTCCTCAGATAATCATAGAATATACCCAAGAGAATATTCTATGTTGAATGTTCCTGGAATATTCCAATAAACATATTCTAAAATTAAAAAAAGTGACCCAAGTAGGGATCGAACTCGTGATCTCAAGACTATCGGAGCAACGCCTTGACCACTAGGCCAGTAATTGAATTGAATAATGTTATACATTTCAAGTTCTTGTGAGAGCATTGTTCGAAATCGGATCATAAACACTTTTTGTTTCAAAATCCCCTTACATCTAATTGATGTTCGATACTCATATCTCTGAAATAATAAATGGTATTTATGTGTTGAGAAACGAAGGAATATTCATGGAATATTTCATGAATATTCACCACCGAATATTCAGTTTAGAATATTTCATGAATATACCGCACAGAATATTCAGTTGGGTATATTTCATGAATATACCGCACAGAATATTCAGTTGGGTATATTTCATGAATATACAACAGAGAATATTCAGTTGGGAATATTCCTGGAAGATTCATACCTGAATATTCCCTGAACATGTCCGACTATTCACTTTGGAATATTCCTTTTAGATGTTCCAGTGGCATGTATATATTCTAGGAATAATCGATGAATATTCGGAATATACTCCTCCTATTTAGCATATTTAGAGAATATTCTATGAATATCCAGTGCTGTCTGGGATGAAGTCCTATCGTCCTTCAGCCCTGGCTTCAGCAGAAATAAATGGAGAGATCTAACCTTATTAATCCATGTAACCAGCAACCATCTGTCTGGTTGAATATCAGACCAGTAATAAGTGTAAATCCAAAATCATTTATGGTTGATCCATTAGGTCAATTAATACATTAGGAACTAAAATAAAAGGAGACAATCTCAACTTGGCATCGTCATCAAACAAAAAAAAAGATTTCTTCCAAACTGATTAGTAAAAGCCTCATGGAAGGTGGAGGCTTTGAATAACATCATCCAGCTGTTACATACTGCTGAATTTCGGTCAGTAAACAATAGTGGCTTGCTTCGTTCGAGAAAGAGTATTCAAACCATATTATAATCAAATAAATAATCATTGATCAATAATTTCATCACTTGGAGAAAATCCTTCACAGTCTTGCTCGGTTTTGCAAAAAAGAGAGATAGCCCCTTCAAAGCGAGCTCCACATGACAATGCCAGTGTCAGAAAAGATCGTTCCTTGAACTCTGTGTCCCCCCCTAATAACACACTTATGTCCCATGGATATCCTTAGAACGTCCTGTCGGGACATTCAGGACGTCCATAGGACGTTCGAATTTGGTACCGTGGACGTCCATTGGACGTCTGTGGGACGCACAAATGTCCCACTTGAGGACCAACTAGGGACGTCCTTGAGGGATGTCCCTGGGACGACTATCGAATACCTGAATCCTACAGTATTTCTCATCAAGCACTACAGAGGAAATCCTTAGGACATCCATAGGACAACCTATCAGCAACGCTGAGGGATATCAATTGGATGTCCCAGGGACGTACGAATTATTCTTGAATTTGGATTTTTCTGGGTCCCTCTAGGACCAGATCTTGCATTACTGATTAGGACATCCAGTTGAGTTGATGATCCGTAGAAGGTCCCCAAAAAATTTCCCAAGGATGTCCAATGGACTTACGTGAAGGATATTGACGAAGAGTACTTATAGCCTACGAGCAATCATTCGTCGGCGAGGTGTAAGTGAACTTCCTCGCAGGGACAACATATTGAAAGTACCGACTGTGACGTCCATAAGACGTTATTTCTAGGACATTGGAAGAGTACAGTTCATGTACCAATCGGGACATCCGACGGATATCCCTAAGGGACATTTCGATTGTCATACAATCCTGGAAATATTGAGGGCGTCTGTGCAGAGATATTTGAAGGAATGTACCATCAGCGACATTTCATGGTTGTCTAGAAGGGACATTTTATAAGATCTGAAGTCATGCCAGAATAATATGTACTACTCGGGACATCCGATGGATGTCCCTAGAGGAACGTTTAAAATCATATCCCATGAGGGACATGCCAAGAACGTCCTAGCATGGACATTCTACAATATGAGAGATGCTATTTCTAGGACATTTGAAATGATGTACCAGCTGGGACATCCCGTGGACGTCCTTGCTCGGACATTGCATGAGATGTACGGGATGGGACGTCCCAAGGACACTTATTTTTTGTTCGGGACATTCGGACGTGAATTGTACCAAATAGGGACGTCCCTAGGACGTTGTGTGCTATTAGGGCCATAATCTTATAAAACATCTACTGAACGAACCGATAGATATGTAATAAACATATTTTAAATTGGATTCCTAATATCTTGATCGACCAATTCTCTGAGTGAAAATAAATTTCTTCAACGATGGTCACTAACCAGCAAAATATAAATATGACGTCATTCACAACCACACAGCGATGACCTATTCGGGTATTAATTCTATTGGCGTCATATCGATGAATTAGTTTGGACCAGGTGACAGCCCTAATAGCAAATACCGCGCACCATCAGTGCCACGTAGCAAAAAAAAGGAGTGGAAAATGTTAGGTGATACAGCGATTATTTATTTCTCTCCATATTCCACTGCGTTTGGCTATCAATTATCAAGTGAAGTTGAACAATATCGTGATGTAAGACAAAAAGGTATTCCGCTGACCTGGAACATTTGAAAAGAAGTTATCCAATCCATCAAATCTCTAGCGCAACGAATGAACGAGCAAGAAGGTGACTTGAAGGCTTTCCTGATCTAAAAAAAATACTCAACTATATGGACATTTTTATTTTCAGTATGGGAATGATATGCCAAATCTGCAGAAATCAGATACAATTCAGGTATGCGTCCCAACCCAAATAAGCAACCGTAACAATATAATGAGCAACGCTCCCTGAAACCAAGTTCGATCTCGTAAATGAATGAGCTTTGATCTTATGGAATTACCCAGACGTTACCTGATATTCCAGGAATATGTTTTTTCGAATATTCATTATGTATGCGGTTCGAATATTCCAGGAATATTCGAAAATCAGGTTGTCGGAATGCGGACCTATCCCGAATGGACACGACAAGAGTCTGTCGGTCATCGCCTTTTGTTCATCCACATCCACGTCACCTATGTGACATGTTATTCTTGTTATTGAAGATACAACGTGACAAAGAAATAAACAATCGAATGAAATCTGCTGTGATCAACTAAGATGGTGACAAATTCAGTACTTAGCTAGTTATTTCAACTTTTGTAGCACGCCTGAAGTAAAGGTGTGAATTCAATTAATCGTCATATATTCAAGCAACTGCTGTATGCTATTCTTGTGTACTCATTGCAGATCCCCTTGAATTTATCATCACCGCTATCGATCAAGAGAAGAACAAAATCATATTATATACATTCAAAGTGCAAGCTTCAAGTTTTTTACATCTTGTATGTTGATTTTTATCCTTTACATAATATATCACATTTTATATGGATATATATCATCCTACTTATGATTGGAAAGCATACCTATTCTATGTATAGGTACAGAACAGATTCCTTGCATATGCCAACAATATCTTTTGGAAGATACACAGATATTTCTGAACTGGTTCCATGGTTACTTTGGGATTCCTGGAATATGCATATCACATGCTTTGGAGGACATCCCAATGGAATATGCACAGAATATTTATGGAACCTGATTGTGCCATCTGGGTAGCGGTCTGGTTCGTAATTCATGTCGGTGTATTGAATACTTATGCGTTCTAGTCATAAGATTGTAAATTTTGTGTTGTCTCCTCTATCAAACATATTGACCCACCTCGAAAAGTCGAATGTTGCTTTCATATGAAAAAATAAATATTGTTCGTTTCAGATTGAACATCGGATCCAGCCACCTGCCGAGTTTTAAAACGGCCTACTTTACCAGGCACAGTAGTGTCGCTGAAGACGCAGGACTTATTTTCGAAGGGCAATCCATGGCGAGTTCTCTTTTGAGTCTGGACAAGTCTTTCGATAATCCTATGTTTGGAAAAGATGAGAAATCGACACCATCAACATCTAGTCCGCGCTATGACATGGTAAAGCTCATATTTCTGTATTTTTATCTACTCACGCGTTCACGTGACAGCATTCGCCTCTACCACGGAAAGCTTGGATAATTAGAGCTATCTGTTCAGGGTTATATTATTATCTATACTTACAGGGCCTAAGAGTCTCAAGACCGATTTCCATGACGTTGTATGTTGGGATCACTAACCATTAAACAAAAAATGGAAGGCCAATGCCATTTCTAAGTTTCACCGTTTAGTTTCGAATTGAACTCGCGTAGGTATACTACGTCGTGATTGGCTCGGAAAAGTTTATTGACAGCTGGCGCAGTGCGTATTGAATTCCCATTGAATAATTTCAAACATACGTCATATATCATTGTTGTTACTGCAATATTGCGTGTGATGAAAACAAAAACAGCGGACATACAAACTCCTCAAGGTCAAGTTCCTGAAGATTACTTTCCGATCCCTGTTCTCGTCTCCGAAGAAGGCCAAAAGTTTTTCTTCTCCTACGAGTAACGGGGGCCGTGGGCCCACCATGTACTCAAGGCTTCGGGGTGGGGGTAGCCTCAGGTGATTCCAGACACCACTGGTTAAAATCTTGAGGTCCCCACTCTTGTCATGGTAGCGGTACGTGAGAAAGGCCGCGAACGGACACCCATCAAACGGGACTGGAGGATTCCGGTCGACATGGGTAGCTGGGCTTGCTCAGCGAAAACTGGAACTCTGGTGTACCTTGTTCCTTAGTTCGTCAGGGAGGGGACAGCCCCAAGCGATCCTCCCGCCAGTCATCGTAGGCAAAGCCGGGTCCTCTCCTGTAAACGAGGTAGAGGTACGTGTGAAAGTCCTCGAACGATCACTCATTCAACGGGACGAGAGGATTCTTGTCAACATGAGTAGCATTCAGGCCAAAGGCTCTTGCGACAGCGACCCATCAAACGTAACAAGAGGAATCTTGTTGACATGGGTACCTGGGGTGATGAGGATAGCCCCATCAGGCCGTACATACGGCCAGGTACCTCACCAATTGGGTTGGTCTCCAGGGGTCAGCGGTATCCAAAAAACACCACCGGACTACGGTAGAGCAGGTGAAGAAGAATCTCACTATGGGAAGTGGAAGGATATCTTGCCTGTCTCGGCGGGTGAGCAGCGTTTTCTGCTCGAGCACTGAAACTGCAGAGCCAGTAGTCTGTCTTATCAGACGGCCTCACCATTGGTATAATGAAATTGTAGCAGGTGAACATGCCGTTATTACATAACGGAGATGGCTCTAGCGCGCTGATTTGGCTTATCCAAATCCTCCATTTCTCCCTGGGGTGCTGTCGGTATGAGTCGAGAGACAGGTGGCCGGCAGTCATCCCCTATCGGAGTCTTGTGAGAGGGGGTGGGACTTGGTCTCACCTGTTGCTACCCCGCCAACATTACTGATGATGATGATATAGGTTGGACCTGTTGGACTGTTGCTTCCTAGAAAAAAAGCTGTAGAGGTGTGAAGTAGTTTGTCACACAGTTTATCTTCAGTATCTACTACCACAGTTCTATAAGAAGATCACACTTTTCAAATGATTTTTCCACCATGTATTATATAGGTATCCTATATTATTTTACGCACAATTTTTTTTTCGTTGAGTCTGTGAAGTCTGAAGATGAACTAATCGAGTTCGAATCATATGTCAATGATGGTTTCTCTTAAAGACTGAAAGTTGTGGAGATGATTTCGAGTTGTTTTCATTATTACAGTCATTTTCTCATTGTTAAAAACATCCATTTTCAACGTTTCTACCTATTTTGTAGGGCAATAAAGATGCTGTCAATACTGGCGATGCAGAGGAATCCAATCACTTAGAGTCAGGAGCTGAAATGGAAGAATCCATGCCTGACATAAAACAGAAAGATTTTGACAATATTTCGGAAGGTGAATTGGTTGATTTGTCCGACATGTGAATATTTTTGTAAAACTATGTGCAGCAACAATATATATGAATATAATTGTCAGTTTGAGATACATTTATGTAACTCCTAATGAAATCACCCCTGTTCCCTTGTATCTTCCCTAATTATAGAAATTAGATTCTGAAATTTGCAGGAACGATGAGACTCGATAAGGTGGAAAAAATCAACAGAACGAAACTTCCCAACTAGCAATGCCTCTTTTATGAAGATTGTTAGATTTGCTATGCCTTCAGCAAATCTTATGGAATCCAAACATAAAAATTGATAAATCCTATCGTGTTTATCTGGGCCGGGATTGGCGCAGTGAAAGAGCCGCGAGGTCGTGTGTTCGATTCCCAGCCAGAGCAACAAGGAACTTTTTTCAATATTTTATTCACGAATTGAATATTGTTTAGTTTCGAAGCATCGACTGGGAATAGTCCTGCACGATTCGCTGTTGCGTTTCAATTAACAGTTCTGCTCCTAAAGTGGTGCATGTACTTTGTAATAGAGCCTACACAGAATACGCAGAAAGATATGATGACGTGGCTGTGAGCATCAGAGAAAAATTAGGAAGGTGTATGTAGGTGAGTGTGGAAAACTACCAGCTGAGCGTGAGAGCGGACCAATATGCAGCTTAGTGGACCTCCTCTAACGGGGGTTAACGAGGTAGCTAGCAGGCCTGCCACTGCAGCATATGGTAGTGAGTACATTACTAGCCTACAAAACACTGCCGAAAAACTCTGAAAGAGAGCTGATGGACGGTACCTGAAGAGGGTGTTAGTCAGCTCTCTTAAGCGAACCACGTCACTCATTGGCGTAGCACCAAACTTGTTGGTGCCACCTCCCCAGATAGCACAATGTCATTCATAGAACGTCTATAGGATATTCTTCGAGAATATTTGAATATTCTCAGAATATCCTCACAATATGATACAAATATTCGCGGGAGCCTCTATGAATATTCGGAGAATATGTCTAATTGAATGTTCATAGAATATTCCTTGCGGAATGAGAATATTCTGTGAATATTCTGAGAACATGCTATAGGAATATTCTGAAATAAGTATATTTGAACGTTGTCAGAATATATATAGAATATTCTGTGCTGTCTGGGCTGTAAATTATTCAGATCTGAAGTTCACGTCTTATTCAAGACGTCTGGTGCTGACTGGTCAATAATAAGCGCTAAAATTAGGGTCCCGGAAATGGAAGCACTCAAAATAGTACCTATACGGTATGAAATATTAATGTATACTATACAGGGTGTTGATTAATTGATTGCCGATAAGACAGGGTGTGAATCCTCAGGTGAGGTTTTTAGGGAAAAAGTTTCTATCAACATATGTCCGAAACCTCTATTAGTTTTTGAGCTATAGGTTGTTAAAATTAGAGGCGTACAGGTTTTTATTTCAATCGAAACATTCAATATCATTCCTACGTGAACATCATTGGTAGAAAAAATAGACTTGTGACAAAACAAAATGTGTTTCCACTCATAGTGGGTGATGCCTAGTAGATTTCAACAAAATAGCAAAAACAATAACTCAAAATGAACTGAAAAAATCTTTTTTTTTTGTTTTTATTTCTTTCCGCGAAAATGGTACTTCGTATATGAAAGTAAGCTTCGGTATCAAAGTTGTTCCACAATGAATGGGAATTTCAAGAATAATTTAGATTTTTAGAAATACCAGTGGCGAACCATTTTTTTCTTCAAAAATTGTCAGTTCAAAACCCGTACGGACGTCACCAGTGAGTATTTAAAAAGTCTTTGACCTCAGAAAATCCCTCGATTGATAAAAAGGTGTGTACGAAATTTCATAAAAATATCTAAGAGTGATGAGAAGGTATGATAAAAAAACCTCAATTTTTTCTTACAATTTCAACACCCTGTAGCTCAAAAACTAAGAGGTTTAGGGCATATGTTGATATGAACTTTTCTCCTCAAAATCACCCGAGCATTCACACCTTGTATTATCGGCACTCAATTAATCAACACCCTGTATCGTCGATATTGATGGTTGAATACGAGCGCAAATTAGAGTCACTGGATGTTATTAGTTTGATAAGAGTTCGGACACAGCTGAACTTTTGTCCTTTTCTATTTTCTATAATACAATGGTTTAAGTGAATAAAAGAATAAGACATATATTCTGCTCTTTGTCTTTTCAATTTCCCTAGTAGTGCCTGATTGTCAGATACGATTTTAGAGGTTATATTTTCTGTCAAATCAATCATAGCCGTAGATGGACAATGGGTATAGGGTACAAACACCCACTTCTAGCAGAACAACTGTTATATAAATGAAAAGAATGCATGTAACAACACTTCAATATTAGAAAATATACATGCACATATGCATAAACTTATAGCTATAATTCCTTATTGTATGTAAAACTGTACTCCATGCAGTGATGAGTATAAAACATGAAGTTATTTATATTAAATTAGAGGTAGGTATTCTCAATATACAGGAAACAATTATAAGAAATAAAGTCTATATAAGCTTTTCTGTCCGGAAATGCTTCATTTCGGAGATACAGGGTGCTGAAATACAGAGAACAAATCATTTTTCGATAAACATTTGATAGGAAAAAAGTAGTTTATTTTGACGAGACCTACCAAATACTTGGTTTTGTAAAGTTCTCAGCAACTCCACTTATTAGCGCCCTAGGAGCTAAGTAACATGGATCGATATAGAAAATATCTCCAAAACATTAACGTCCAGCGTAATTGAGGCCCTTATAATAATTCCCTTGATACATAAATAACTATCACTCTCCACTGTTAAATTTTAAATTTGGTCGGCAGCAAAAACGCCATTCAATAATATATCGCACTTTGTAGTTTACTTGCTTTCCTTAGTTTCGTTTTCAAATTCTCAATTTCATTATGTAATTTCCTCTTTTCCATGCTTATTTTGTTTTGTATTTTGTATGATGATAATAATGGAATTTTGTTCTCGAATTCGCCTGCTTTGTAAATTGATGGAACAGCAGATTCTCACAAAAAGATTTTGAAATCTTCTGTTTGAAAATGGGCCTGAAATATAGTTTCATTCTAATCAGATGCTGTTATAAAAAGTGAATTTTAATAAGTACCTCACAAATTTCGCTCGTTTTCAAATTGATTTTGCACCCAGGCCATTTCATATCTTCCTTCCATAAGCGAATGGTTTATATTTGTTTCCGAAAATTGAATAAATTATATCCATTTTTTTCAGAATTGGCACAATTTATCACACAGCAAGTTATTTCCATAGCTGCTTTCATCTCGAATGGATAATTATGAAATTTTATTTCAATTCTGACGTTTATAAAATGTATTGTCAAATTCAAACAATTTCGAATGAGAAAGCGCGGGACGACTATGGTGCTCTTGTCACAATGCAAGGTGTGAAACTTAATAAATCTAAACATTCAAAAACCCTAACCGTTGTCATTTCTGTGTCCGAACTCTTATCAAACTAATAACATCCAGTGACTCTAGCGCAAATAAACCATAATCCATGCATATATATTGGCTATATTCCGAATTCAACTGACAGTACTGAATCTGCTGATTTTCCATTCCGAAATCAAAAAATTCACTGGAAGTGACAGATGATTGTCAGCAGACATACTATTCATTCCAAATATTTCGACTCAATATTCTGCTGGAATTGCTGAGTATCAAAAGGTAGTGTGGCTTCAGTGAACTGTCATATTTTAGAGGGGGAAGGAATGTAACATTCATTTCCGTTATTAATGAAATGATTCTCAATATCAGAAAATACCTGGAGTATGAAGTAGTAGAGCAGGTAAGGAAAGGAGCAGCATTGGCTAAATAAACTAAATAAACCTGGAATGTCTCCTAAATTTCATCATTATTAAGGCATATTGCGATTTTCATGAATCTCAATTCTCAATCTGGTGCATCATGAGAAATTTATGGCAACAAAATGTCCAAGTATTCTTCATCACTCGAGCTTGAATCGCCATCGTCAACAATCGTAGAAACTATAGAGGATACAAGAATCGATTTATCTTCCATATTAAATATTAAATTTCCAAAATTTATAACAAGTAGGAGGCTAAACATCTAGTTCAGATAAACGAGAAACTACTACTGATGAAAACCACGAAAACGTGTCCCGAATTACAGTAGTGAATTTTTGATTTTATATTTCGGAACACAGATTTTCAGCAGAGTCAGTGGATCAACTTTCAGTACTGACCAGTTGAATTCGGAATATAGCCATTATAGGTAGTACCATTGGTTGTCATTTCTAACTAATACCATCCAGTGACCCTAGATATGTGAGTAGCCGACCCATCTGATTTTTGCCACCATGAAAGCTTATACAGGGTGTTTCAGACTTAAATGTACATACGATACCTGTAGATAGAGGACACTTCGGTGGTTCCAAATCACCCCCCATCGATATGTCTACCGTCTTTTATAACTGAGATACAGGACGTTATCTTGATTTTGGCAAAATCTTCATCTGGTTATAACTTTTGAACCACTTTGTATAATTTATTCATACTTGGTTGAAATATTCCACTTATATTACTCATCAAAACAAAATAAAAATTCGGATCAGAATCCAGGTCCGTCTTGAGGAAAAAGAGAAAACTTCTTTTATCTCAAAAACAACACCCTGTATGGCAAAATTTTGTAGGTCTGTTTTGATATTTGGAAAGAGCGGAAAAAAATGAAATAAGTGACCTACTTTTTACGAGTGCGCATCTAATTTGACATATGGTTTATTATCATGTTTTGAAATATTCAGCTCCATTTCGAGGCATTTTTATTGAACTTATAATTCAAAATTCAATTTTAATACAAAAAAATAACAGTCTTCAAAGTTCAACATCATAAGAGTCAAATTAGGTGAACTATCGATAGATTTGTTGTGACAGAATCACTTGTCTATGGTATCATACATATTTGAGGGCTCATTTTATTTTCCACTATTAATTCACGAGCTGCGGTTGAGTAGGCTGTGCAAACAAAATCTGATATTCTGACAGGTCATAATCACTAGTGTGATATTATTGGTAATGTTAAGATAATTATTTCTGGTG